TCTTTTTTTCATCCACCAAACAGGGATTTTTCATTTCAGTCATCGTTCCCAATCTTAGCAGTGATTCCACAAAGTCAGTATTCGTGTTCAATAAAGAAGAAAAAACTTATAGCTGAGAGGGCTTTGACATAAAGGAATGGAATAGTGATAAAAATAGTCCTAGATATTCTGCTACTGCTTCCAGAATTTTGTTAGGATGAAGTCTTCAGTTTAAAATATTTTTTCTTTTTATTTATTTTTTGCTGTGATAATAAATGTTAAAGATACATTGATCAAGAGTTATTGCATTCATCTACTAATTTGTTGAATGGTAACTCTTGTACAACTACTTAAACATAAAAATAAAATAAACACATTTCAGTTTGGCAATAAAACATTCAAATTATCCATGAATTCACAGGACAATATATTTTCTTTCAGTTTAAAGAAATAATCCTTTGACTTGACTTTTTCAGGGAAATATGAGGTTAAAATGTATAGAAATATACCTTTACTAATAGAATTATTGTTTATCCAATTTTGTTTTTATAGTTAGTTTGATCTTTTGTAATACTTTATTACTTACTAGTTTTTAGTCATTGAAAGATGTTCTGTTCTATATCCGATTAGGTGTATTGTTGCACCTTATATTACAAACCTGGATGGGATTTTAAAGGTTTCGCAGCTTATTCTTTTAGAAGTAGAATAAATATAGCTACTATTATCCTTAAAAATAGGCTTTTGTAAAATTTCTCAAATAGGAAGATGATTCTTCAACCTCTCATTCTAAAAAAGAAACCTGACTTTTAAAGAAATGACCAGAAAGACCTTGACCACAATCCATAACAATTTGTCAAAAGTATACATTTATCATTTGCTCCTGAAGGTCTCAAACTAAACTTTGTGATGTTGGCATTTCATAGAGTCAGAAGTTATTTTATTCTTTCCTTCCCTGACCTGAAAAATCCCTTTATGTTCTTTAACATAATCTATATTAGTATGTAATGTCTTGATGAATCTCATTTAAACTACCTTATCAGGAGCAGAACTATTCCTACCTATTCTTCCTTTGACCTTATATTAGAACAAAAATCATCTTGGATTTAAAAGGATTTGCATTGAAGATTTTAAACTAAATATTAACCATGTTACATCATCAACCTGCTCAGGGATTCCTGGCTAATACTTGTAAAATGATATAATATTTTACTAATAAGTAAATACTTCTCTTCATGAGTATTATATATGTAATTATATAATTTAATATGTACTCATACTATAATTTTTATCAAAGTTTCCTTATTGGTGATATTAGAAAAGTTAATTATTTTTCCTTAATATTGAAATTAAATTTGATATAAATTATTTAAAATATGTGCAGACATGGAGCTAAAAATTCACATGATATAAACTTTTAGTTATTAATACGCTATAGAAAAGGAGAAACAAAAATACTCTTAACCTAAGGTATGGGCATCAAGCAATATCTTATTCATTAATAATTTCAAAGATCCAAAGTACTACTTTTCACAAATCTGATGAAAAACTGCATCACTGGCTTTGAGAAAATGAAATATATTTTATGTGGAGCTTGAACTCTGGGCCTGGGCACTATCCCTCAGCTCTTCAGCTCAAGACAAGCATTCTACCACTTGAGCCACAGCACCATTTCCGGTTTTCTAGTAGTTTATTGGAGAAAAGAATCTCACGGACTTTCCTTCCCTGGGCTGGCTTTGAACCGTGATCCTCAGATCTCAGCCAGTGGCATGAGCCAGTGGCATGAGCCACTGGTGCCCGGCTTATTTTACAGTCTTTATTAGTAGAGAATCACTTTAAAAAAAAAAAAAAGGATATGGAGCCTGAACTCTGGGCCTGGACCTTGTCCCTCAGCTCTTTAGCTCAAGGCTAGCACTCTACCACTTGAGCCAATCACCACTTCTGGCTTTTTCTGCTTATGTGGTGCTGAGGTATCTAACCAAGGCCTCATGTATGCAAGGAAAGTACTCTACAACTGAGCCACCTTTCTAGCCCTGAGAATCACTTTTATATGTTATCTTTAATACTCATTCTTCCAGATTTCATCTCTTCCAGTATTAATATACATTTTATTTTTCTTCTAACATCATTAGAATTAGAAATAAAGTTGCTCTAGTAAAACATATGATTCCTAAAATATTTAAGAGAATAAGTAGGAATTTAGATAAGCTGAATCAAGGAAAATGTTGCTACATTTCATATATATGTAATATATATATATATACATACATATATATCTTTGTCATTATCCATAGTTTATTAAGGAAATAACCCCTAACATGTCTCTTATCAATGTAATTTCATACTTACTCATTGGTTGACTCCTTTATTTCAGAGAAAAAGAAGTATTCTTCAAAAGTCAAAAAAGAATTAGCATGTGAATTTCTTTTGATTTCATGTCTATTCTTTCTAGCAGTGGGTCCTTTTATTTTACTCCTTCTTAAGTCTCAAAAATACCCTAGTTTCTATCTTTCAAAGAGATTATTTATAGCAGCTACATGATCATTCTTACTCTTACAATGGCAATAGCTTTCAGGAACTGGGAAATCCAACGGAAAATATCATAAAGTTGTTTTATCAACAGCATTTTCTCTTTCTTTGTTTCCATCCCCATCACTCCTCTCAAAGTTCAAGGGTGGAGATCAAGCAATTTTTCAATTTAAGATATGTTGCTGGCACTCTATATTTTAGCCTTTCTCTATCCACAAATCAATTGGTCCTTCTGCATTGTATTCACTGAGGAACTATTTCAATAAGAAGTCTGGCCTCAGAAACCAAAGGTTATAATAAACTATATGTTGTTTTCATTTTATATTCAGTGAGTCTCTGGAAGTTCATTTTGCATTTCCTCTTTTCTTGTGTCTTACAAATATGAGTATACTTATGATCTTTGCAGCTGAAACATATAAATAGCCAGCATTGACCTAATTGACCATTTCTGAATTATTGTTATTTATTATATTTTGAAAAATCTCAATTATTTCTGATTTGTTATTTACCTTTACTTTTTCCACACAGTACTTGTTTACTCTGTGGTAGACTAAACATGGCTGGGACATGTTTCTTATTTTTCTTACCCAATTAGAACCCATATAAATACGTTTCTAGGGCTTCTAGGGTTCCTCATTAGTTTCAGTTTCCACCTATTGCTCTTGGAACACTTTCTTTGGATCATGTTGATTGCCTTATAAAGTCTCTAACTCTCATTCAACTATTAGACTGATGGGCGATGAGGAACTTCACATAAGAAAAGCTCTAGGAGTCAAGTCGAATCACCCATCTTATTTATATCCATTCAAGACCAGGTAGTGAAGTGTCTTCTTTTTTTGAATATTAAGATTTCAAAAGAATGATATGAAAAATAACAATGGAACTCAGATCCCAGCAAGAACCAGGTCTAAGCCATATGATCTAGTTAAACCACCAGTCGGTCATTTGAGTAGCCCATCTGAGTTGCTATCATCATGCTGTGAAGACAAGCTGTCTCTACTGTAACCATGCACAAATTACTGAATTACAAAATATCTGTTATTCAGTAATTGATGTCTAAGATAGGATGTGACTCCAAGTCCCAAGTTCTACATTAAAAGAAAACTAATATTGTTATAGTTGGCTTTGGGATAGAAGATAAAAGGAAAAAAAAATAACAACACATTTAAGCAGAAACGACTGTTGGTAGATTAAATTAATCTTAAAAAATTTCCCTAGTACTATTAAAGTTTGTGCAAATTTCTCAACAGAAAACCTGGGATAACACAATGTAATAAATTACATAAAGCATTATGCCTGTTTAACTAAACTAATTTAAAGTAAAATCTTCTAAGCCATGCTCTCATGTATAATCTCATCTATATCCTTATCCTGCCTGCTGCTCAACTTGTCCTTTATTTCTGGCCATTTCTAGAATGACTGACATGAGTTTTCCAAAAACCTGAATAAATTATAAACTTTTTTAAATCAAGGTTTATCTTACTCCTACATTAATTTTCCCATGGATCAAAATCTATATTCATAGTACAAGTAACTACATTAAAGTTTTGTTCTGAACAACTTTTAGAGTACCACAGGAGTGTCTCATGATTATATGTATTTAACAAATTTTGAACAAGCTATCTGCCTGCATGATTTATGTTTCTCTCCCATGAAAATTATATTTAATTTTAGAGCAAACTCAAATATCGCCGTTAGTCTTTCTAGGCATGCTCTACCATTCTCCATTAGCCAGGAAAATGATTCTTTCTGTACTAGAATTGATGCAGTGTCTTCTTCGTTTTTAATGATTGTTCATTACAATATACTTTTTTGGTGTCTTTCCTTCTAGTTTCCAGAATATTTTGAAATCTTTATGGCTCTGGCCTTAACCTTATTGATTTATGTACCCTCAGTACTACAAAGGCTCTCAGAGTCATTTAGAGATAAAAATATTTGTGGAAAGAGATGAAATTCATATAGAAAATGACAATATAATTAAACTTGTTGAAAAGTTAACTTGTGGAATTACTAAATTCTTTGCTAAGAATCCCATTCAAAAACAATAATTTTTAGGTAACAAAAATAATGTATTATGTGAAGGTATTTTTGTTTTCTTTCTTTTTTTTTCTTTTCTTTTTTTTCCTTTATGATTTATCCCTTATTGTTACTGTATTTGATTTGGTACCCTATGTGTGGTATATATGTTTATCTGAATTAAAAAGGGAAAGGAAACAACAAAATGGTGAGACAAAGGACAAAGGGCAAAGCATTGAAGCAGCAATACTCACAAGACAGTATGTTGAAAATGAACTTTACGATCCAGAAGGAAGATGGTGGAGGAGAAGCTGGGGGCTAAACAAGCTCTCACATAGAAAGCAGTTTTAGTGTTCCAGTAAATAGTCCTAGGGAAGAGAATCACACCAAGTGTGCCATCACAGTACAGAGAATTTGGCCAGAGAGGGAAAATCCAGGCAAGGAGACAGATCTGAGCACTTACCAGTAGCCACTGCTGCATGGTGTCGGTGGACAGTTGCAATAGCTGCCATACCTACAGCACAGAGAGTCTGGGACAAAGGCGCCAGATGCAGCAGGTGAGCACATTCTACAAAGCACCAGCAAGAACTGACAAGGAGCGGGTATCTTCATCCTGCAAATCACAGACCAGAGAGGACCCAGGAAACAAAACTCCGTGTGAGTAGAACCTGACATCCTCACTCCTTGTCAGGGAGCAGAGGAGGGAAGGGCAACCCTGCCCCCACCACCAGAGATCTCCATCTTTGATACTGACAAAGGCCCAGCTGAGCAGCTAGCTCCAACTCAGGCCTTGGAAGAAAACAAAAAAGTCATTTAGCAGGTCACAGGAAACTGACCTGGCCTGCCAGGCTCAGCTTCACCCAGGGGAAAGTTATCCAGCCCATGCAGAGAAGCTCTGGCTCCAGAGGAGTGACTTTCTTCACTGGGTAAACAGAGCCAGGGCCTGCCCCTCCCCTCTGCAGCATAGACAGACAATTGAAATTCAGTAAACATAAACCCTGAGAATGGCTCCAGGCTGGGCTCTGTGAGTGTCTCCGAAGCTAACTCCTCAGGGAAAAGCTACTGTTTGCTGAAAGGCCTCAACTCTACCCAGAAGCTAGCCTCATCACAGCATCTCCAATCTAGAGGAAACAGCCATCTCCCTCTTTTGTGATACTCAAAGCAGATCTGCCTCTCACTGAACTGGCCTGGGAGGAGGATCACAAAATCCTCAGTAAAGCAGAGCATTTTTCTGCCTGCACAAACAAACTGGCTTAAGTAACCAATCAAGCCACTGGAAAACTAAACACCAGGAGCAGTCCAGAGACTCCACCAAGAGACTGGCTACAGACACAAGGGAGATACAGGATCTTCCCATCCACCCACCGCCCCCCCAAAAAAATCAAAGAACTCTTTTTTTATACCTTTAAAATTTTTTATTTTATTTTATTTTATTTGTGAGCATACTGTACAGAGGGGTTACAATTACGTGGGCAGGATAATGCATACATTTCTTACCAAGCATTGCAGCCTCCTCCTTTGTTTACCCTTCACCTCCCTTCCCACCCAATCCTTCCCCCACTTCCCCCCCACCGACATTGTAAAGCTCCTTTGTGACATGACAATTTGTACTTCTCATTGTTGCAACAGGTCCACCTGAATCCTTAAACAACTTGTTTTTCCCCATCTCCTCCACAAGTTATACTGACATCAAATATAGTGAAAGCAGGGGTTATAGTGTGGGGGAGGGACATACAAAGCAACAAAGAAATAATCTTATAAATGCATTAGAAACACATGCATGAAAGAAAAAAAAACATTAATATCTAAGGGTTCATTTTCCTAACATCACATTATCTGACCTTTTCTGCTTGACTCATACATATACTAGATATTGCAAATAAGGGAAACCATGGGACCTGTGTTTCTTTGGGCCTGGCTTACTTCACTTAATATAATTTTTGAAAAATAAAAAAAAGTTTTCTATTAATTATTTTCCTCTTATAATTTTTATTTTAGGTGTATATGTGTGTGTGTGTGTGTGTGTGCTATTTTTTTTATCTCTACTAACCTTTTGGCCCTTTTTTTCTCATTCTTTTCATTTTTTTCTTCTCTTTCATACTTTTTTGCATGACTTAATTGCTGTTTTGCTCATCCTCAGAAATAACCGTCATCAATTATTAGATCTTATCCCCCATCGTGTACATACTTAATCCAGAAATTTATTACTAAATGTAAAACCTCTTAGGCTTAAATTCCTTAAGAGCGGTATTATTTCTTTATACCTATATAATTTTTTAAGAATTTTTATTTTTTAGTTTTTCATGTATCCTTGCTATTCCTCCCCTCCTCTCATGTTATCCCTGTTCTTCTCTCAATTTCACCTTTAAAATTAGATAATTTTTAAGTTGCACTTTTAAAATTTAAATTTTTGTTTTTCCATTTTTTCTTGTCTCTTTGTTTTTCTCTCTCTCCTATCATTCTGTCCAATCCATTTCTCTCTTTGAGATTAGGACTTGGTTAATTTCACTCTCCTTTTACCTTTCCACATCCCTCTAATCCTGTTTTGCCCCACATTTCTCCCTCAACCTAATAATTTCTGGTTTGCCAAATTATTCTTTGCTGTTCTTAGCCCATTAATACATAGTTGTTTGATGTTGAATAGATTGTATCTGTTGAACTAGATTGTATCTGTAGCCTTTTGACTGTGCAACTACAGGACTTTGGTTGATGCTTGCCTTAAAATAGTGTTCTAGCACAAAATTGGTGTTACTTTCATACCAAAAGGGAGGAACAAGCTGGAAAAACAAAAGAAAAATGGCAAGTCTGGGTATCTCAACTCTCACTCATGATAATCAGGTGACAGAACAGATAATGAATAATCCAGAACAGAGTTCTCAAAAAGCTCTACAAACACTAATGCTAAACATGGTGAATGAAAATATTGAAAACTGCAAAGGACTCAGTGTGAGCATGATAGGGAGAGAGAGGAAGCAAACCAAAGATCAATACAATAATCTAATGAGTGTGAGGAAGCTGCTCAAAGATTGATTACAGGAATTGTATGAGCAGGTTGAGAACAGTCAAAGAGAAATAAAGGAATTGAGTGAGCAGGCTGAGACATTCAAAGAGAACTACAGGAATTGCCTGAACGCAAGGAAGCTAATCAAAGAGTAATACAGGAATTGCGAGAGTAGAATGAGAATAGACAAAGATCAACAGAGGCATTCAAGGATCCATAAACAGACAGCTGAAAGAATTCAGGGAGACCACCAAGGGAATGCTGAATGGAACCCAACAGAAGGAATGGGAGTCCAAGAAAACCATAACCAATCAACTAAGTGATTTGAGAATAAACACTGAAAACCAAATTAATGAAGTAAAGAAGTTCATAAAAGATCTAAAACAAAGCTCCAACGTAGAATTTGAAGCCATCAAAGCAGACCAATTAGAAGGAAAAGAAATAAAAAAAACAAAGTAGAAAGTCTTGACAGTAGGTTAGACCATGCAGAAGATCGAATCTTGGGGATTGAAGAGAGTCTAGATATTATAGAGAAACAACATACAACTATCCAAGACAAATCCAAGAAATATGGTAGATCTATTCAACATTTGAAACACACCATCAGAAGGCCTAATCTGAGGATAATGAGTGTAGAGGAGCACCAAGAAACAGAAGTTAATGGTCTAGGAAATTTGTTTAACAGAATTCTAGCAGAGAACTTCCCAAACATATAAAAAAATAGGCCTATTCGGATACCCCAAATACACCAGACCAGAATAGGATATCCCACCCTCACATTATAATCCACACAGGATCAATTCAGACCAAGGAAAAGATCCTTAAAGTTGTCAAGGAGAGAAGAAAGATCAATCACTTTTAAAGGGAAACCAATTAGAATCACCTCAGATTTCTCAGCAGAGACACTTAAAGCAAGAAGAGCCTGGAATGATGTATGCTAGTCCCTAAAGACAATCAACTTTCAACCAAGAATACTTTACCCAGCTAAACTCTCCTTCATAACCTATGGTCAAATAAAAACATTCCATAGCAAAGAAAAACTGAAACAATATATCTCCACCAAATCAGCTACAAAAGATACTTAAAGATGTCCTACACATAGAAAACCAACAAGACCACAATAAAGGCCAAGAAACCACACCCAAACTGAGAATCTATAGGAAGAAACCAGTTGTCATAGCCCCCAAGAAGGTGGATAAAATGGCAGAAATTCCCAAATACCTCTCAGTCCTATCTCTCAACATTAGTGGACTTAACACTCCAATTAAGCTACATAGACTGTCAAGTTGGATTAAACAGCAAGATCCTTCTATCTGCTGCATTCAGGAGTCACACTTTGCCCACGAAAATAAACACATTTTGAAAGTGAAAGTCTGGAACAAAATCTACCAAGCAAATGACCCTCATGAACAGGCAGGAGTTGCAATCCTAATATCAGATAAAATAGACTTCAAATTAGAATTAGCGAGAAGAGATTAAGAAGGTCGCTATATACTAATTAAGGGATCTCTCCTCCAGGATGATATTACAATTCTAAATATCTATTCACCAAACATCGGAGCACCCAAATTAATCCAAGAAACACTAGTTTCCCTCAAAGCTCAAATAGATTCAAAGACATTGATTGTTGGGGACTTTAACACACCACTATCCCCACTAGATAGATCAACTCAGCAAAAAGTCAACAGAGAAAGCACAGATCTAAACAATTGCATACACCAACTAGATTTAACAGACATCTACCGAATATTTCACACAGCAGCATCAGAATACACATTTTTCTTAGCAGCACATAGATCATTTTCCTAAATAGACCACATTTTAGGTCACAAAGCAAATGTGCAAATTCAGAAACATTGAAGTTATACCTTGCAGTCTCTCAGACCACAAGGGAATAAAATTAGAATTCAACACAAAAAGCCATCAAGGAAATTCCTGTAACACATGGAGGCTGAACAGCACTGTTGAATCATGAGTGGGTCATGGAAGAGATTAGAAATGAAATTCAAACGTTCATGATACTCAACAAAAATGGACACAAAAATTATCAGCTCCTCTGGAACACAGCAAAGGCAATACTCAGAGGCAAGTTTATATTTGTTTATCAACAAATTGGAGAGATCTGACAACAACAATTTAATGAGACATCTGAGCCTCCTTGAAAAAGAGCAGCAAGATAAACCCAAATCCAGTATATGGAAAGAAATAATTAAAATTAAATGAGAATTAAATGAATTAGAATCCCAAAAAACCATACAAAGAATCAACAAAACAAAGAATTGGTTCTTCGAAAAAAATTAACAAAATAGACAGACCTTTAGCAAATCTTATTAGAAAAAGAAGAGCACACACGGAAATAAACAAACTCAGAAATGTGAATGGAAACATCACCACAGAAACAACCAAAATCCAGAACATTATAAGGGAATACTTCTCAAACCTTTATGCTAATAAGTTTGAGAACTTGGCAAAAATGGATGATTTCCAAGCAAATATGGACATGCTGAAACAAAACGAAGATGAGTTAAACCATCTTAACAGGCCTATATCAAGCATTGAAATAGAAACAGCAATAAGAGACCTCCCATTTATGAAAAGCCC